TGGGTTGTGTGGGTTGTGTGGGTTGTGCAGGTTGTGCAGGTTGTGAGGGTTGTGCAGGTTGTGCAGGTTGTGCGGGTTGTGCAGGTTGTGCAGGTTGTGCAGGTTGTGCAGGTTGTGCAGGTTGTGCGGGTTGTGTAGGTTGTGCGGGTTGTGCAGATTGTGCAGGTGTGTTTGCAGAGAAGGCCTTGAGCCGTGTTTAGCCCTGTACATGTTGAACTGCAGCTGATCTCTATGAACAGGTGAATATATTCATCCTGTCATAAGAAGGATCTCAAACACACGTCCCATTGATGGTCCAGAAGTGTTTCTGCCGCTGGCTTCAGGGTGTTCTCCGCGTGACCTTGTGAGCCGGTAAACAGCACGTGTTAGCGTGTTAGCGTGTGGAGCAGGCTGTAGCTGCAGACACACGTATGTTGTGTCCGTGTTCGCTGACAGCTCGTCAAGACTTTGTTTAGTGAAAACACTGGAGTCGAGTGGGAGGAAATCCTGCAGCTTTAACTTCTTTAAACCGTTTAGAAACAGATGGTTTTGTTCATGTGAGGTTTAAAGAAGCAATATGTAACATGTTCATCATTAAAGGGCCCTAATCTGTCATCATTAAAGGGCCCTAATCTGTCATCATTAAAGGGCCCTAATCTGTCATCATTAAAGGGCCCTAATCTGTCATCATTAAAGGGCCCTAATCTGTCATCATTAAAGGGCCCTAATCTGTCATCATTAAAGGGCCCTAATCTGTCATCATTAAAGGGCCCTAATCTGTCATCATTAAAGGGCCCTAATCTGTCATCATTAAAGGGCCCTAGTCTGTCATAATAATCTGCTCTTTTCCAATACTTCTTTAACTGATAACAGTCGTTAGATATTTTAATTTCTAATTTACTTTTCCAGCCTGTAAATCTTGTTATTATTTTCATATCGATGTCCCGCCCTCCACAATACTTGCCAACTTCATGTTTTTTAACATTGTCAAAACCCCAACACAACTGTACGAGGAAATAGTTAGACAATAGTTAATATGAACTAATTAAAGAGGACAAGTCTGATTTTTGACAGTTACCGTGGTAACCAGGAAACATTCAGCTGCCTTCACATGGATGTAATATAAAACATATCATTATGTCATGTTTTCATTCCAAAGTGTAGTAAACAGGGACAAAGAGATTCTTATTCTGTTGTGGACGTGTTGAACCCTTTCGGCTAAAGTTAAATTACCAAACAATGGAGCCAGAGGCGATACTTCTAAAATCAATAAAAAAGTATAATATGTTTTCGGTGAATGTGGCTGTGCTCGTGTGAGAAGCCTGTTGGAAAGTGTCCGAGTCTCTCACTGCTGTTTCGCTGCTTTTTCAACTCAAAATACCCAATTGTAGGACTTTATAACGACCCAAATCCATTCTGAGCCATTGAAGTTGTTGCCACGGAGATTTGGCGCCGAGTCATGGCGAGAAAACAGAGCGGAGGTTATGGTCCGAGTCAAACCGTCCAGATGTCGCATCGTCACGGCTTTGATGGAGCAGAACTTATGGTTGTACCGAGAGACGCCACAGTTTTACTGCCACACAACTGCTACACAACTGCCACACAACCGCCACACAACTGCCACACAACTGCCACACAACTGCCACACAACCGCCACACAACTGCCACACAACTGCCACACAACTGCCACACAACTGCCACACAACTGCCACACAACACAACTGCCACACAACCGCCACACAACTGCCACACAACACAACCGCCACACAACTGCCACACAACTGCCACACAACACAACTGCCACACAACCGCCACACAACTGCCACACAACACAACTGCCACACAACTGCTACACAACTGCCACACAACTGCCACACAACTGCCACACAACCGCCACACAACCGCCACACAACTGCCACACAACCGCCACACAACACAACTGCCACACAACCGCCACACAACTGCCACACAACCGCCACACAACTGCCACACAACTGCTACACAACTGCCACACAACTGCCACACAACTGCCACACAACCGCCACACAACTGCCACACAACCGCCACACAACACAACCGCCACACAACTGCCACACAACTGCCACACAACTGCCACACAACTGCCACACAACCGCCACACAACTGCCACACAACCGCCACACAACACAACTGCCACACAACCGCCACACAACTGCCACACAACCGCCACACAACACAACTGCCACACAACTGCCACACAACTGCCACCCAACTGCCACACAACCGCCACACAACTGCCACACAACCGCCACACAACTGCCACACAACCGCCACACAACTGCCACACAACCGCCACAGAACTACCACACAACTGCTACACAACTGCCACACAACCGCCACACAACTGCCACACAACTGCCACACAACCGCCACACAACTGCCACACAACTGCCACACAACCGCCACACAACACAACTGCCACACAACACAACTGCCACACAACTGCTACACAACTGCCACACAACTGCCACACAACTGCCACACAACCGCCACACAACTGCCACACAACCGCCACACAACACAACCGCCACACAACTGCCACACAACACAACTGCCACACAACTGCCACACAACTGCCACACAACCGCCACACAACTGCCACACAACCGCCACACAACACAACTGCCACACAACCGCCAAACAACTGCCACACAACTGCCACACAACCGCCACACAACACAACTGCCACACAACTGCCACCCAACTGCCACACAACCGCCACACAACTGCCACACAACCGCCACACAACTGCCACACAACTGCCACACAACACAACTGCCACACAACCGCCACACAACTGCCACACAACCGCCACACAACTGCCACACAACTGCCACACAACTGCCACACAACCGCCACAGAACTACCACACAACTGCTACACAACTGCCACACAACCGCCACACAACTGCCACACAACTGCCACACAACCGCCACACAACTGCCACACAACTGCCACACAACTGCCACACAACTGCCACCCAACTGCCACACAACACAACCGCCACACAACTGCCACACAACTGCCACACAACTGCCACACAACCGCCACACAACTGCCACACAACCGCCACACAACCGCCACACAACTGCCACACAACACAACTGCCACACAACCGCCACACAACTGCCACACAACACAACCGCCACACAACTGCCACACAACACAACTGCCACACAACTGCCACACAACTGCCACACAACTGCCACACAATTGCCACACAACTGCCACACAACCGCCACACAACTGCCACAAAACCGCCACACAACCGCCACACAACTGCCACACAACTGCCACACAACACAACTGCCACACAACACAACCGCCACACAACTGCCACACAACACAACTGCCACACAACTGCCACACAACCGCCACACAACTGCCACACAACCGCCACACAACTGCCACACAACCGCCACACAACTGCCACACAACCGCCACACAACTGCCACACAACTGCCACACAACTGCCACACAACACAACATGCCACACAACCGCCACACAACTGCCACACAACTGCCACACAACTACCACACAACTGCCACACAACCGCCACACAACTGCCACACAACCGCCACACAACCGCCACACAACTGCCACACAACACAACTGCCACACAACCGCCACACAACTGCCACACAACACAACCGCCACACAACTGCCACACAACACAACTGCCACACAACTGCCACACAACCGCCACACAACTGCCACACAACTGCCACACAACACAACTGCCACACAACCGCCTCACAACTGCCACACAACTGCCACACAACTACCACACAACTGCCACACAACCGCCACACAACTGCCACACAACCGCCACACAACCGCCACACAACTGCCACACAACACAACTGCCACACAACCGCCACACAACTGCCACACAACACAACCGCCACACAACTGCCACACAACACAACTGCCACACAACTGCCACACAACTGCCACACAATTGCCACACAACTGCCACACAACCGCCACACAACTGCCACATAACCGCCACACAACCGCCACACAACTGCCACACAACTGCCACACAACACAACTGCCACACAACACAACTGCCACACAACTGCCACACAACCGCCACACAACTGCCACACAACCGCCACACAACTGCCACACAACCGCCACAACGCCACACAACTGCCACACAACCGCCACACAACTGCCACACAACCGCCACACAACTGCCACACAACTGCCACACAACACAACTGCCACACAACCGCCACACAACTGCCACACAACACAACTGCCACACAACTGCCACACAACTGCCACACAACACAACTGCCACACAACCACCACACAACTGCCACACAACTGCCACACAACCGCCACACAACTGCCACACAACCGCCACACAAATGCCACACAACTGCCACACAACCGCCACACAACTGCCACACAACTGCCACACAACTGCCACACAACTGCCACACAACCGCCACACAACCGCCTGTGTTTGCACCACACAATGCTACACAATACTACACAATACATTATGTCAGAATGTTTATTATGAAACCACACGTCTCTGTCTCTGACTCCGGACCCCGGTGCTGCTGCGATAAACATACAACTATATATTTATGCACTAGAACTTCAGTGTGGGCGGGGCTCGGCTCGTAACTGGTGATACAACACTGAAATGTCCCCACAGTGCGACACATGTGGGGAGAGTTTGGATGTTTCTCTCCACACGGTAACGACAGAAGCGAGACGCCGAACACACTCATTACATTCAGATCTATCGCACATGTTTTTAGTGGTAGCCGGAGCACCCGGAGGAAACCTATGCAGACACAGGGAGAACATGCAAACCCCACACAGAAAACGCCTGGAGGTGAAATCTAACCCAGGACCTTCTCGCTGTGAGGCACAAGCTCAAACCGCGGCACCACAAATACAAAAACACCCCCAACCAAACTGAAAAACCCAAAACCAGCAGATTGTGAGTTATTTTTAGACGGAGGATTTTCACCGTTCACTTTGGAGCCGAGCAGCCGCGCAAACGCTGCTTACCGGGACAAACGCAGCTTACCGGGACAAACGCTGCTTACCGGGACAAACGCTGCTTACCGGGACAAACGCCGCTTACCGGGACAAACGCTGCTTACCGGGACAAACGCCGCTTACCGGGACAAACGCCGCTTACCGGGACAAACGCTGCTTACCGGGACAAACGCCGCTTACCGGGACAAACGCTGCTTACCGGGACAAACGCCGCTTACCGGGACAAACGCTGCTTACCGGGACAAACGCTGCTTACCGGGACAAACGCCGCTTACCGGGACAAACGCCGCTTACCGGACAAACGCCGCTTACCGGGACAAACGCTGCTTACCGGGACAAACGCCGCTTACCGGGACAAACGCCGCTTACCGGGACTTATGGTCCAGATATGACTCTGATACTTTACTGTTATTTTTGTGCTCATTACGGTTACAACTGATGGTATGAGCTTCATGGTTACAACTGATGGTATGAGTTTCATGGTTAAAGCTGATGGTATGAGCTTCATGGTTACAACTGATGGTATGAGCTTCATGGTTAAAGCTGATGGTATGAGCTTCATGGTTACAACTGATGGTATGAGCTTCATGGTTACAACTGATGGTATGAGTTTCATGGTTAAAGCTGATGGTATGAGCTTCATGGTCCTTGGGCAAGACACTTAACCCCACTTTGCCTGAAGCTCCCACTGAAAGATCTCAGCTCCTGCAGGAGGATCAGTGAGGGGCTGGTGCTCTGACTGCCACCCCCAACCCAGAAATGGATTAAGGGGAAGAAGATGGATGGATGGATGAGTGTACAACTAAAGTAGAGATGTGTTCTGTTTGGTAACCATGTGGGAGGTTTCCTGGTCTAACCATGTGGGAGGTTTCCTGGTCTCTGGGGTCTGTAGAGCAGCAGCTGAACCACAGTCAAACCCACTTCCTTTTACTCATGTTTCAGAAAGATCTTTAAAGTGCACACTTTATATCTTTATTTTCTTCATGGTCACAAGACCTGGACTCATGAGGACCAGGACTCACAAGGACCTGGACTCACAAAGACCTGACCATGAGAGTCAAAGTCGAGGCCCGGGGGCCAGATGCGGCCCATGCATGAATCATCTCGGCCCTGCATTAGAACCAGGCGAACAGCATTTGAATGTGTTTTAATAAACATTGAACCAGTCGGACCTCGGCTTGTAGTAAATGTTCTTTGGCCTCTGATGTGTTTGACTTTGACGTCCGTGGTTAAAGCTCATGTCTGTAATCCCTCAGAGAAACAAACTGTCACAACATCTTTGTCAAAACATATCAACTCTGATCTCATTGTGGTCTAGAAGCGGTGACAGAGTTGGAAAGACCGAATAGAAAAGACTTTGAGGCTTAAGAAAAACACTGGTTTGTGAATCCAATGTTTATGAAAAATATTTGGACCTTTTCCGTTTCCTATAAAGTTGTTTTGGCGTCTGCCTCAAACTGAAATAGAATTCTACGACACGATCACAAACACAGATGAGATGTCTCTAAAGACGCGTTTTCACTGCTATATTGTGAGTAGCACTTATGCCTCACAGCAGGTGGTGGGTTCGCTCCCCAGACAGGCCTGGGTCTTTCTGGACTCTCCAAGGTTTCCTCAGGGCAAAACAACACATGCTCCGTTGGTTAAATCCTCCAGAGAAGGTCCTCACTGAGCCAAAGCGACATCTGGAGCTGGCCCCTGGAGCTGGCCCTTGGAGCAGGCCCCTGGAGCTGGCCCCTGGAGCTGGCCCTGGGAGCTGGCCCCTGGAGCTGCACTGGAGCGAGCACAGAGTGGGTCAAATGTAAAGGACACATTTGTCTAAAGGACATGTGTGATGTTGTTTGTGCGTTTACTGGGTACAGAACAGATCCTGGACTAAAAGGCAGGTCTTGGCGATCGATATTTGCTAAAATGAAAACGTGAGATCTTTCAAAACTACTCACAAAAAGTGTTCTTCTTCCTACTCCCTTTCAGGCAACTATTTTGGTTTATTCATTTTATTTTTCCCTCTTATGCATGTTAGCAATACTTTATTTATGTTTTGTTTGAAAACTAGGATGGACCAGAGGTGACGTGTGCCCAAAGTGAAATCCTGAAATGAAAATCCAAACAAACAAGATGTGCCTCGAATACTTTTTCAGCTTTGTCGCTTAATCCGAGTAAATTGGTTAGAATTATCTGTACATTTCAAACACATGTTGTTCGACTTCCTCCTAATCGGCGTCACAGAAACGCAATCATTCAAATACACAATAAAAAGCTTTTCCTGGACGCTCACGTCTCGAACACACACTGAAGACAATCCAAGAGTCCAACCAGAGAGTAATGGACTAAAATCCCCAGGACTGACAGCCCTAAAGAACAGCCACGGAGCCTTTAATTAAAAACAAAATTACTAAACGGTAAAATATCTTCCATTAAGCGTTTAATTGTGTGATTTAATACAAAGGCTGATGGTTTTGACACCGCCACAGTCTCATTAACACTTTCACACCTGGAGAGACCGCGTTAATGCCATGATTGAAAACAGTGAGTTATGCCGGAGGTGAAGCTTCCTCTGGGCAGGTGAAGCTTCCTCTGGGCAGGTGAAGCTTCCTCTGGGCAGGTGAAGCTTCCTCTGGGCAGGTGAAGCTTCCTCTGGGCTTCACTGGACTCTGATCCTTTTGTTTTCTCCTGCTGCATGTTCCAGATCATTCTTATTCCGCAGAGGTGCAGGTGATTTAATATTAGCGGCTGCTCGTGTTCCACAGTCATCCTTCCAGTTTCACCGTCTGACAGAGAACACAGCGATCAGAGCTGTATGTACGAGGACAGAGGCTAATGGAACAATGCTAACACACATTAGCATGGACTGGAGAGAGAGGTTAGCTACGTCTGCATCTGCAATACTGAGACTCCTACAACTCCCACAGCCGTCATTTTGACTGCCCCCGTTCAAACCATTTGGATTCTGAGATATTTCCCCCAAAACGTGAGTTAGTTTACAAGAGTTTCACCTTCACTGGTTCTCTATAGTAGTGACAATGTGACAGAATGCTAACTGCTAGCAAGTTAACAGTGCGTTGCTATGGTAACAAGTGCTGGGTCTGTTCTGGTGGAAAACCAAGCCTTTCACTGTGGAGAAACTACTTATATTTCAAAAGTAAAATTAAAGACATAGAAATAAGAGACAGAAAAAGTGTCTAAGTTTGGAAGAACACAAATGTACTCATGCCCAGTAATTACACTTTCAAAACTAAAAGCTGTCAAATTGACTGCTCTGGGAGTTCTACTGTTAAAGCTGGGGTTTCTGAAATAGTTAGTAATCATTCTTATTATATGACTTGGACCGTACGCGCGCTCTGATTGGCTGATTACAAGTCTGATATTTTCCCATCTCGGACCGTTACCATGACAATCGGTCCACAGCCCGTATCACATTTGATATCTTTCCTTGGACTGTTACCATGACAATCGGTCCACAGCGCGTATCACACAAAACCAAGTCGGACATGAACATACTTCACAAATATCTCAAAAGCATCGGACACAGACGAGAGTCAGATAATAAAATATTTATTAACCTCGCCACGGCTCGGTCTGTGCATTAAGGCTACTCTACTCTACCCTACCCTACTCTACTCTACCCTACTCTACTCTACCCTACTCTACTCTACTCTACTCTACTCTACTCTACCCTACTCTACTCTACCCTACTCTACTCTACTCTACCCTACCCTACTCTACCCTACTCTACTCTACCCTACTCTACTCTACCCTACTCTACCCTACTCTACTCTACTCTACTCTACCCTACTCTACTCTACCCTACTCTACCCTACTCTACTCTACCCTACTCTACCCTACTCTACTCTACTCTACTCTACCCTACTCTACTCTACCCTACCCTACTCTACTCTACCCTACCCTACTCTACCCTACTCTACTCTACTCTACTCTACCCTACTCTACCCTACCCTACCCTACTCTACTCTACCCTACTCTACCCTACTCTACTCTACCCTACCCTACTCTACTCTACCCTACTCTACTCTACTCTACCCTACCCTACTCTACCCTACTCTACTCTACTCTACTCTACCCTACCCTACCCTACTCTACTCTACCCTACTCTACTCTACCCTACTCTACTCTACTCTACTCTACCCTACCCTACCCTACTCTACCCTACTCTACTCTACTCTACCCTACCCTACTCTACCCTACTCTACTCTACTCTACTCTACTCTACCCTACTCTACTCTACTCTACCCTACTCTACCCTACCCTACTCTACTCTACTCTACCCTACTCTACCCTACTCTACTCTACCCTACTCTACTCTACTCTACTCTACCCTACCCTACTCTACTCTACTCTACTCTACCCTACTCTACCCTACTCTACTCTACCCTACTCTACTCTACCCTACTCTACTCTACCCTACCCTACTCTACTCTACCCTACTCTACTCTACCCTACCCTACTCTACTCTACTCTACCCTACTCTACCCTACCCTACTCTACCCTACCCTGCAGTCATGAACTATAACTGTTCATGACTGCAGGGACACAGTGCAATGGTATATTATGTATAAAGTGTATTTTGTGTTTTCATGATCGGCTGAAGTTATTATAAGCTACAATTTAATTAATTAAAGGAGCAGCTCACCGCCATTTTAGTTTCATTAGCATCAAAATCAGGTTTGAAATGTTTAAACTGCAACAACAGCTGGACATCAACCGTGAAAACTTCTAAGTGACTTTAGTTTCAGTTTCAGTGTCTCTGCACATTCATTAGCTCCTTGTTTACATCAGTTGGTCATCAGCCATTTCCTGATTGGTCGAGGTCACTCAGCTGTTTCCTGATTGGTCGAGGTCACTCAGCTGTTTCCTGAATGGTCGAGGTCACTCAGCTGTTTCCTGATTGGTCGAGGTCACCCAGCTGTTTCCTGATTGGTCGAGGTCACTCAGCCGTTTCCTGATTGGTCGAGGTCACCCAGCTGTTTCCTGATTGGTCGAGGTCACTCAGCCGTTTCCTGATTGGTCCAGGTCTCTTCAGTCACTTTGTGGTCACAGAATTTGGGGAAAAGCAAAACAATTGGAATCGAACTTGGAACAAATGGCTTTAGATCCAAACTGGGACAAACCTGTGATAGCGGAAACACAAACGGACGCTGCTGTCACGGAGCTCCTGACGTCTTGACTCGTTATGGCTCGTTATGGTCATTTGGAATAACTCTGATAATTGTCTTTATCTGGACTGCACAGTATTTGACCATCGACAGGCGGCTAAATGAAGCATACGTGTTAAAGCACTTGGTCTAAAGTGCTGCTGTCATTTCTGCTCAGGGAGCGCTGGGATAAGGCTCACGTTTTAATGAAGATGGAGTGACGGTAAAGACGCTTCCATTACCTTCACTTTGTTCTACTCCCACTCAAACCAAATATTTTCTATCATGATAATATTTCACATTCTAAAACACAAAAAGACAAAGTATTTAGTCTCATCACATGTTTAATGTCCAATTATAATGTGTAATATATATTTTTAACCGATCAATCACATCTAATCAATCATTGAAATAGTTCTTGCCTAAATTAGAATCCGATGAGACGACTCAGAACTGAAATCTCTACAAAATGAAATGGAAATGTGTTCAATAAGTGTTTTTCTTAAACAATCCAATGTTGTCAAGTCTCGTCTTGATGAAGATTCTGAAGCATCAGAGTCACTTTGACCTTTTCTGATCTGAACGACTGAATCATTAACTACTGCTCCATCTGAGAGCTGTGTCCTGCTGCAGCTGTCCGTCAAACCATCACAGCTCCTCTTCACCACAGCTCCTCTTCATCACAGCTCCTCTTCATCACAGCTCCTCTTCACCACAGCTCCTCTTCATCACAGCTCCTCTTCATCACAGCTCCTCTTCATCACAGCTCCTCTTCATCACAGCTCCTCTTCATCACAGCTCCTCTTCATCACAGCTCCTCTTCATCACAGCTCCTCTTCATCACAGCTCCTCTTCATCACAGCTCCTCTTCATCACAGCTCCTCTTCATCACAGCTCCTCTTCATCACAGCTCCTCTTCATCTCAGCTCCTCTTCATCACAGCTCCTCTTCATCTCAGCTCCTCTTCATCTCAGCTCCTCTTCATCACAGCTCCTCTTCATCTCAGCTCCTCTTCATCTCAGCTCCTCTTCATCACAGCTCCTCTTCATCTCAGCTCCTCTTCATCTCAGCTCCTCTTCATCACAGCTCCTCTTCATCACAGCTCCTCTTCATCTCAGCTCCTCTTCATCTCAGCTCCTCTTCATCACAGTTTCAACTGTCTCCTGGTTAGCTCGCCGGTCTCCTTAAAATTTACCAACACCATGGTGAAAAAATACCATAGTGAAAAAATACCATAGTGTTCTGTGACGTTAGGAGTTTTCAGAGAGCAGACACACACACAGATAAACACACATACCCCCTTGGCCAACATACACACACAGACACACACCCCCTTGGCCAACACACACACACACACACACACACACCCTTGGCCAACACATACACGCATACACACACAGACACACGCACACACACACACCCTTGGCCAACACACACAAACACAGACCCACACACACACACAGACACACGGACACTTTTTTTTCATCTGCTTATAAAGATGTGCATTAAAAAGGACTGGTTACTATGGCAACAGTCCCTCTGTATCCTAGCAACCAGATCATTGGGTTCCGGAACAGTGTTACGTCAAAGCAACGATGACGTCACAAAGCCTAAAAAACTGGCCTTAGGGGAACGTCAAACTCAGACTAACAGTGTTTGGAGTCCGGAGAAACGGGTCAGAAAGCCATCCATCTATCCATCCATCCATCTTCTACCCTTTAATCCATTTCTGGGACAGGGGGGTGGCAGTCAGAGATGCCACCCAAGTCTCATAGCACCAGCCCCTCACTGACCCTCTGCAGGTGGTGAGTCCACAGGAGGACGGCTGCTCTCTGAGTGTGAGCACAGCCTTGATCTTTCAGTTGGGGCTTTGGGCAAAGTGGTGTTAAGTGTCTTGCCCAAGGACACAACGACAGCAGTCATCAGTGGGAGTCGGTGGAGAAGGTGTAGAAGTGGGAATTGAACCCACGACCTTCTGGCCTTAAGGCCAATGCTCTACCAACTGAGCTACTGTCGCCCCGGGGTCAGAAAGCAACAGAGAAAAACCGAGATAGAAGCGAGAAAAAGACGTCCTTCAAGTTCGACGAGTTTTGAACCTACGTCACGCTGCAGTGAGAATGGAGATGATCTCACTGACCACAGAAGGTCAGGAGCTGGGAGACGTTCCCACTGACTCCACCCTGACCTCAAAGATGGAGCAGCAGGAGAAGAAACTGATGAAGATCCAGAAGTTACACCAAAGTCTGCAGCAGGAGATCCAGGAGCACATGGAGGGGATGGAGGTCGTTCGCACGGCTTTGAACCAACACGCTTCTGCTCGAGAAAGTCTAGGGCGAGAGTTTAAAGCCAGAGAAAGTGAACGCAAGAGGATCGAGATGTTAGAACTCCAACTGCAGGAGTTTGAAGACCTGAAGAAGCAGCATTCTTGGACTGTTGAGAGAAACCTCAGTCTGGAGAAGAAGGAGCACTTTGAGCAGATGGAGTTTGTTCAAAAGTGTTTGGACGAACAGGTCGCAGCTTCCCAGACTCTAGAACAAAAGCTAACTGAGAAGGAACGTGAATGCAAGGAGGTTGAGGTCCTCAAACGCCAACTGCAGCAGTTTGAAGAGGTCAAAGAGCAGTATTCTTGGTCTCTGAAGAGAAATGAAAGTCTGGAGGAAGAGTTGGAACAAGCGAAGCAAAGTTTGGCCAGAAACGAGACTGAACGTAAAGAGACGTGTGAGAAACTGACTGAGCTGCAGCAGCGACAGAAGAAAGTGCTCACAAAGAGCTTTGAGGAGCTAAGGTCTGTAAAGCAGAGTTTGGAAGAACAAGTCCCTGCTCGCAAAACCTTAGAACAAGAACTTAGAGAAAAGGAAAGTGAATGCAAGAAGATTGAGGTCCTCGAACGCCAACTGCAGGAGTTTGAAGACATGAAGGAGGAGTATTCTTGGTTCGCCGACCGACTAAGTCTGGAGACAGAGTTCGAACAGACTAAACAGAACTTGGTAAACACTGAGCTCGACCTGAAGGAAGAACGTAGAAAACGGGAGATAGAAAGTGAGAAGTGGGAGATGGAGACCAGAGAGTTGGAGAGAGAGCTTCAGCTTTGCCAGAGTCGTCTTAAACAGATGGGAACAGACAGAGCGATCCAAAACAAGCCATCCACCTGCGAAACACAGACACAGACTGTCACGATGCAGCAGCTGGACTGGATAGAAACGGAAAACATGGAAGAAGAACGTCACAGTTTGGAGAAGTCTCTGCACGACAAAGAGGTGGAGTTTGAGAGTGAGCGGAGAAAGCTCAAAGAGGAACTGGAACAAGCCCACGACAAACTGAAACAGCAGAAGATTTCACAGAAGACGTTCTTACAGGAGCACCTGGAGGAACTAAGGGTTTTCAAGGAGTTCATAAAAGATCAAGTGGCCGTTCGCAAGAGTTTGGAGAAACAAATAGAGACTTCTAACCAGAGAAAGACGTGCACATGTGAAATGCAGACGCAAACTGTGGAGCAGACGCAGAATACGCTTGAAAGAAGTGAGGATTTAGACACGAGAGAAACCAGTGACGACCAACCTTTAGACAAAACTCTAGAACAAAAACTAACTGAGAAAGAAAGGGATCGCAAGAAGATTGAGGTCCTCGAACTCCAACTGCAGGAGTTTGAAGACATAAAGGAGGAGTATGTTTGGGCTGTCAATCAAAACCAAAGTCTGGAGATGAAGTTGGAACAGACGAAACAGAACTTGGTAAACACTGAGCAAGACTTGAAGGAAGAACGTAGAAAACGGGAGATAGAAAGTGAGAAGTGGGAGATGGAGACCAGAGAGTTGGAAAGAGAGCTTCAGCTTTGCCAGAGTCGTCTTAAACAAAGAAGTGAGGATTTAGACACCAGAGAAACCAGTGAAGACCAACCTTTAGACACCAGAGAAACCAGTGAAGACCCACCTGCTTCGAAGGAAGAATGCAGAGGGCTCCAAGGAAATCTAAAAAATCTGACACAATTCTTTGAGGAGAAAGAGGAGCAGGACATGCAGAAGCAGGGATCCTGTCTGAAGAGGGACGGGGTGAAGGGGAAGAACGTTGCAGCTCTCATGAAAATGTTTGAGCAGTAAGAAAACACAACGTTCTCAGCAGCACAAGTCAGACGCTGTCGCTGCTAATCACAAGTCTTAAATGTAGTCTGAACAAAGAGGTTGGAGGCGGGTGGGACGTGGCTGTTTGGTAAGGGTTTAAGGTGGAGCCAACAGAGGAAAACACCTGTAAAGGTTTTTTAGGCTGTTTGGTAAGGGTTTAAGGTGGAGCCAACAGAAGAAAACACCTGTAAAGGTTTTTTAGGCTGTTTGGTAAGGGTTTAAGGTGGACCCAACAGAAGAATAGACCTGTAAAGGTTTTTTAGGCTGTTTGGTAAGGGTTTAAGGTGGAACCAACAGAAGAATAGACCTGTAAAGGTTTTTTAGGCTGTTTGGTAAGGGTTTAAGGTGGAGCCAACAGAGGAAAACACCTGTAAAGGTTTTTTAGGCTGTTTGGTAAGGGTTTAAGGTGGAGCCAACAGAAGAAAACACCTGTAAAGGTTTTTTAGGCTGTTTGGTAAGGGTTTAAGGTGGAACCAACAGAAGAATAGACCTGTAAAGGTTTTTTAGGCTGTTTGGTAAGGGTTTAAGGTGGAACCAACAGAAGAATAGACCTGTAAAGGTTTTTTAGGCTGTTTGGTAAGGGTTTAAGGTGGAACCAACAGAAGAATAGACCTGTAAAGGTTTTTTAGGCTGTTTGGTAAGGGTTTAAGGTGGAGCCAACAGAAGAAAACACCTCTTCACCTGCAGCTCTCAGCTTTATCCACTTCCAGCTCACAGCCTCTTTATGAAACTATCAGGACTTGAATAGATCAGACAGAGTCGGCTTTGATCAGGTTTGAACTGATCACAAAACATCAGCAAAGAAAATCCATCCATCCATCCATCCATGTTCTTCCCCTTAATCCATTTCTGGGTCGGGGGGGTGGCAGTCAGAGATGCACCCAGTCACAGAGCACCAGCCCCTCACTGATCCTCCTGCAGGTGGTGAGTCCACAGGAGCTGAGATCTTTCAGTGGGGGCTTCAGGCAAAGTGGGGTTAAGTGTCTTGCCCAAGGACACAACGACAGCAGTCATCAGTGGGAGTCGTGAAGTAGGTCTTGAGGTGGGCTCGAACCCACGACCTTCAGGCTCAAAGGCCAATGCTCTACCAACTGAGCCACTGTCTCCCCAGCAAAGAAAAATACAAATAAATAAACATATAGCATTGAAAAAGTAGTTTTCTGAATGATTTCTCACACACACACAAACATTGTCGGTGTAACGCAGGAGTTAATATGAAAACCTATGTATTATCTTGCGTCATTATCTTTGAGCTGCGTTCGACACGACGTTCATCCAATCCGTGTTCAGTATAGCGGCTATGCCGGAAGTGTCAGTACTTGCGAGAGCAGAGCGTGTTTTGGATGTGCTGCGGGTCCGGTAACGCTTTTAACCGTCACAGTCATTATTAACTGTCATGAAACTAACTTTGATTCATTTAATATGCAGAAGCCGACTGCCTTTGAGTCAGACGCTGCAAAACTGCTGCGTATGTTCGTTTTACAGGCGGAATCGGTGAGTTCGAGCCAACTTCAGAATTCCTCCATTCATTTGTGTTTGTTATCGTACTCAATTCCAGAGCATTTTTACATTGTTCTTAAAGGGGAGATTTACTTCCTGTCTCCTGGAGGACTTTCGCTGCTGTGTGACGTCAGGTGCAACCCAGCAATAAGAAAACTCTGCCATTATCTCACCGGGAGCTCCCTCGAGCCGACACTACATCTGCCACAAACACTTCACAAACTCATGCTTTTAAAAACCACCATCCCAGAATTATTAGGAAGAAAAAAAAAAAAAATTTTTTTGCTCAAAGAACTTCTCACCCCCGCTCCTCGGAGCTTACGTCACTCACATTCTCTTTTCAAATCTCCCTCCAAATGGGCGTGGCCTGGAGGACTAAAGGGGACAGGCAGAGGGGGGGGGGGGTGAATGTTGGGCGGGTCTAAGCTGTGATTGACACTTGACATCAGCATTGGCCCTGTCAAAGATGGAGAGTGATCAGAGACACCAGCTCTATAGATTCTGTGCGGTCTTAGGAGGTGGAGGACTGAGAGGAGACAGACGGCGGCCCCAGCCCTATCAATTTTAGCCTTCCCATATTCCCACAGTAACCGCTGATGTTGCGGTTCTTTTCTTGACAGTTTTGTCTGTACATTTTATGTATGAACCCAGACCAAGATAAAGTATATGTTGTGGGATATAGTTATAATATTCTAAACTCTGCCACAGAAAACTTCGGGCCACTGCACCTCTTTGTCCCCAAGGTGGAAACCCCGAAGACATGTTGGATAGAAATGATCCCCCAATGTGCACAAGAGACAGTAATTTAACACACGCTCAAACATAAAGAAGTATTTATTGTACACATGTACAATAAACAACATACAATGAAATGGCACAGGATATAGAACACTAGGAATACTAACACAAGTCTAAAGCTAAATTCAGCTAACTAATCTAACAATAAAAGCAACTAACTAATGACTAAAACTCCAATAATCAACAACAACGCTATTAACACTACACAATTATCTATAATACAAACAGCTATGCTAATTATAATCTCCCTAAATGCTAATAACTAATCGCAAACCTGACAATCGATGAAAATACCCTGCTATTCCTTCTCCAACTCATACGGGGGCGTGACCGAGGCCGTTTATACCTCAGAGCGGGGGCTGCTGACGTCAGGTACAACTGCTGCGCAGCAATTTGTGGCTGAGTTGTCCTTTAACCACTTTGCAACAACCGGCGCGCCGGCGGCCGTTTTTATGTTTTTAAATGTTCTGCTGGCAATAGCAGATGTATTTTGAACACCAAACCCCAAAAGCTGTATATCATTTTAAAGCTTATTTTCTTATCTACATTTATATACAAGTGTAAACTACATCAGACTTTGCATTCAAAAGATATAACACATAATGTGGGCACAAAATAAATCAATTCCGAAATAGTTTTTTACCTTTGGGCTTGTGCTGTACAAATAAATCAGCTCTCCTCCCAGCTTGCAATACATCATTCTCTCTGGAACAGTCCAAAGGAAAATTATATCCACTTGTATTTCCCAAAGTAAAATCCATTCTGCAGAAATAATCCAAAAATGTGCATTTATCTTTAGCGAAAAAAACGAAAAAAAAGAGCACAGATGTTACTCTTTCACTTTTAACGGACTTTTAGCTTTGTTTTTCACCCAAACATCTGGTATCTACGTGTTCCTTAGCTCCTTATCTTTCAAATGAGACTACTCCCGAAAAGCTAGACCAATTTTTGGGTCTGCAATAGCTCCCGCAAGTACCGCTCGTGCTGCTGTTTGCGCATGGAGGACTGATCTTTGTTGTGCTCCCAACTTGTTTGCTTTTACTTCCGGGATTTACGATTGACATGTCCGTGTAGCCAATGAGGAAAGCTTTCGAACAAGGGGTGGGACAATGGTGTCCTGTCTTATGTTGTGCCTGGACAATTGTGCGTAATGGAAGCCAAAAGACGCTCTCAAATCTGCAATGAATTTACACTCATAAAAAAATAACTTTGACATTTAAAAAAGAAAAACACACATAGATTAGTAACTTATAAGTACCAATAATGAAAAATATTGTTTTTATGATGATTAAATGTAAGTAAAGATATTTGGCACAATTTGGCACACTTGTGCCAAATTGTGCCATTGTTTAACATTGTTTAAACAGTACAGGCCAGAGAACGGTAGAGCAGTAAAATCCACCTGTGTTTGTCCTCATGGCACCTGTGGCTGCTGTGGTCAGACGCCAGACTTTATGAACTGCGTGAAGCGGAGAGACCCGCGCACGGCCGTTACGTCAGATGTCAGTGAAAATTACAGACATTGTTTATCCCGTGCAAATGCACTGTCAGATCTCAGACGTCCTCCGTGATTATCACAAATTACCAGGTAAAACTAATCCCGTCCGAATAGGGCTTAAAACTGGTTAATATAAGTTTAAATAACTGCTGCAGGTAAACAGTGTGTTGCTATGGTAACTAGTGACTCTTCTCAGAACCAGCAGCGGTCCAGGATTCAGTCCATCTCAAACATAAAAGACAGTTTCATAATAATAGAGACAGAAATAAACTAAAGTCACTGTTTGTTCCTGGATTCATGGATTTAAGAAGAAAAAAAAGTTCAAGACGACGAGAGACGGTAAAATCCACAGAGTCCTGCTTCATGACAGCAGTTCTCTGTCAGGTTCTCTGTCAGGTTCTCTGTCAGGTTCTCTGTCAGGTTCTCTGTCAGCTGGGTTCGAGCCGTTTTAGTTTACATTGAGTTCTATGACACACACACACAAAAAGGCACACGCACACACACACACAAACAAACAGACACACACACACACACACACACACACAGACACACACAAACAGACACACACACACACACACATACACACACAGACACACACACACACACACACACACTCCCTCCACTATAGCAGTAATCCGTGCTAATGCTAACCTCAATAATAACGTGGGGTCTCCTCGTGCGGGGCTGGGAGCGGTCCAAGTCTCCTGCCACCCCTCTTTAATGACCCGGGATCGCACCCTCTTTAATGACCCGGGATCGCACCCTCTTTAATGACCCGGGATCGCACCCTCTTTAATGACCCGGGATCGCACCCTCTTTAATGACCCGGGATCGCACCCTCTTTAATGACCCGGGATCGCACCCTCTTTAATGACCCGGGATCGCACCCTCTTTAATTACCCGGGATCGCACCCTCTTTAATGACCCGGGATCGCACCCTCTTTAATTACCCGGGATCGCACCCTCTTTAATTACCCGGGATCGCACCCTCTTTAATTACCCGGGATCGCACCCTCTTTAATTACCCGGGATCGCACCCTCTTTAATGACCCGGGATCGCACCCTCTTTAATGACCCGGGATCGCACCCTCTTTAATGACCCGGGATCGCACCCTCTTTAATGACCCGGGATCGCACCCTCTTTAATGACCCGGGATCGCACCCTCTTTAATGACCCGGGATCGCACCCTCTTTAATTACCCGGGATCGCACCCTCTTTAATGACCCGGGATCGCACCCTCTTTAATTACCCGGGATCGCACCCTCTTTAATGACCCGGGATCGCACCCTCTTTAATGACCCGGGATCGCACCCTCTTTAATGACCCGGGATCGCACCCTCTTTAATTACCCGGGATCGCACCCTCTTTAATGACCTGGGATCGCACCCTCTTTAATGACCCGGGATCGCACCCTCTTTAATGACCCGGGATCGCACCCTCTTTAATGACCCGGGATCGCACCCTCTTTAATGACCCGGGATCAGGCCGGGTCTGTGCTAAGAGCGTGTACAAAGCGGCGTTCCCTCACGCTCGCTCTCACGCACAATAGCCTTATTTTCCACTCGGCGCCGTTTGGGACCGAGGAGAGAGCAATAGATGCGTCATATTTGGAAAGGCATTATCTGGGAGCGTCCGGCGTCGGCAGCGAGTGTTTGTCCTTATACGTGTGAGGCCTGACCTTTCAAAGGCAATCTATAATGGCCCCGCTCCCAGAGAGAGGACGCATTACTGTGAGAGGGGCCCCTGAAGAAGGAGGCTTTTGTTCACTCTGGGGCTGTGTCTGTGCTGCTCTGGCAGTTATGAGATGCTGTGTTTTTATTATGATATTTATATCTTTATCCAAGAGTTTAGAAGTAGCAGTAGCAGCAGCAGCGGCGGCAGAAACTAGTTTATTTTCTTCTGCCATTTTGAACAAGATTTTATATATTTCTCAATAAGAGAAAATACAAACAGTGACTCACAGAGGTGGAGCTGAAGACGACAATCTGTTTCTACAAAACATGCAATATCTATGCAAATACAACTGTAGCTCTCCAACCGTAGCTCTCCCAGCTTTAACATGAAAACCACTGTAGCTCTCCCAGCTTTAACATGAAAACCACTGTAGCTCTCCCAGCTTTAACATGAAAACCACTGTAGCTCATAAATCATCT